AGAACTAGAAAGGCGAGGCTTCACCACCCATTTATCCCTCCGCCTTTCAATTAGCCCCACCTGTGATTATCGGCCAGACTGGCACAATTAACTAACTCAGTACCCTTAGTGGAAGATGCCTGGGATATGTAGCAAGGATACCAGCATGCTGGTCCCAATATGATCACATACTCTATGGCTTTGATCAAATCACTTTTTTCTTCGGGCCTTCGTTTCTTCCTCTCTAAAAGGAAGCACTTGGCATCAATGTTGACACTCCCTTCTCATCCTCGTTGGATTAGGTTTTCATTTCAACCCTTTTCAGAAGAAGCGTTCTGGTGTCTCTTGATTGATAAGCCAGTTTCATTTGAAAACAATACAGAATGACGTCCATTGAAATGTGATTGCACACAGGGTAAGTAAAAAAAAGTATCGCTATGAATTCATAGGCATCTTTGAATTAAATAAAATATATCAGCATGTGAAGCTTTTGTTTCTCATGAGACGCTCCCTTGAGGTCTATACACTTCTGAAGGCAATGTTTCCATCGCTCCAGCCCTTCCTGGGAGAAGGTATGCTCTTTGATTGACATCATGTCAAAGCTGCAGCTTGGCATCTTTAAGGGGTTCAAATAATTGAAAATGTGCTTTGAATTGTGGAAATGAAAAGAAGTCTAAAGGGGCAAGATCAGGGCTGGAGGATGGACGGAGGAAGGTTTTCCAGTGGGATTTGCCTAGGAGAGTCCTTGCTACCCTTGAAGAATGAATAGGTGGAGGGAAAAATTCCTTGGCTTAACTTTTGAGTCTTTTCCTCACTGGGGAAGTGTTTAATTTCCTTAAAATATCTTCCTAATAAGCCCTTGTGATCATCCTGTGCCCTTTGAAAATCATCTATCAAGATTACCCTTGTAATATCCCCCAAAGAGTCACCATCACCTTCTGAGCTGGCCTCTCTGCCTGCGGCTAACTGGTCCAATAGACCCCCTCAGAAACCACTGCCTTGATTTGCCCTTTCTTTTGAAGGCACCCTAATGAGGCTAAGACAAGTGTATTACCGAGAGAGCTTGGCTGCAACCACCCACGGATCACAGAGACATCATTAACCATGTTTTGTTTGAAGTAAACCTTTGTCTGCAAGAACTAGAACTCTAGTGGCAATCTTTTTTTTTCACTTATCCTCCAGTGTGTGGATTATATATATTATATACATGCAAAATCGTATATATATA